GCAAGCCAAGAAATCAGCGCCTTGGTAGGCAAGCAAAGACATTTGTAGTCAAGGGGGCAGAGAGAGAGAGAGAGAGAGAGAGAGAGAGAGAGAGAGAGAGAGAGAGAGAGAGATGTACACAATGACATTTTAACAGATCTTTTGCAGTTCACATCAGTGCTGGGCCGGCAACCGGCCGGTTGAGTTACCCCGGTCCAACCGGAGCCGGACCAGCACAGGGAGGTTGAACCGGGAAACCGGTTTTGTAAAAATCCTTTTTTTTCTCTTTTTTTTTTTTGGGCAGATTCTGACTGCACTCTTCGAGAGCTGTCAGAATCCGCAATAAAATTTTCAAGGTGCAATATTTTTCAGGGGGCTTCCAGAGGGGAGGCAGAGGGTTATTATTGACATATTCAGGCAACTATGGCTTCCACGGGGAGGGGTCGAGTAAAGCAAGTTCACTTATCTGACCCCCCCCTGGCTGGAGCATTTCGTGGAGTAGGTCATGTGGTAATGATACCCCACGAGCTGAACCACATATGATGAAAGGAGGTCCTTGCCAGAACTTATAGCTCTTCCAGAGTGTAGCTCGGCAGCAGAAGAGTTATGGGTCCAGCTTTCAGCTCGTGGGGGCAGAGCGTTTTCTGTTTGTTCTTTTCTACATAAGGTGAGTTATCAGTATGGAAGTATCTTGCCTGGCAGTCTGTCCAGACTCCAGATACATGTAGTGGAGCAAGGTCCATTATTGGGATTGCACCTCGGAAGGCTCTGACATCACAATTACGAAATCCGAACCCATAACTTTTTCCACAGATGGCAGGGACGTCGCACGAGGATATAATCTCAGCAGAGCCTCACCACGAGCATAGTGTTCACCTCGTGGCTGAGGGTGAACGAGCATCAAATGCTACCAACGGTAACTGGTCCTTTGGACCACAAGAGGACAAATTGGAGAAGGGGCCTACGCGATCCACACACATCTTAAGAAAAATGTGTGGCGGTTCTCTGCTGTTGATCTGCAAAGATCAGCGATGGATATCCTCCACCCGTTTTTCTTAAGAAATGAGGTCCAGGATGCCCCAATTGTTTTTCCCCACAGAGGCAGGGGCCTCCTTGGGAACGGGCAATCGCGGGGATGCCCGTGACTTCCTGGTACCCCCCCCCCCCCTAGTGCAATGCGCTGGACTCAACCGGGAGTCTGCCGGCCCGGTCGACTGGCCGGTCCGACCGGCAGGCTCCCGGTCGGGGGAGGGGCCTCCGGTTCAACCGGGGACCAGCCCTGGTTCACATGCTAAATGTTTCTGGGTGTTATTTGGCCAAATCTAGCCCCCACTTTCTTCTTTTGACCCTCAGGGTCGATACTATCCTACTTATGGCTATTTAGATTATAGAATGATGTCAATTAATTATAGAAAAAACATGTAAATTTCTAAATTTATGTAAATACTAATAATTTAACAAACTAATAATGCACATTCAAGAGAACCTACTCTTCTACTCCAGGAGAATCAATGAATCAACATTCTCTCTCTCTCTCTCTCTCTCTCTCTCTCTCTCTCTCTCTCTCATAGAGAGTTTGAAGCGTGGCATGTCAACACAGGAAGGAGTGTGAAGCACCATGGTGTGAAGGAGGGCACTTAATGGAAGAGAACGACACAAAGTGGTGCATGACGAATTCAGATGAGAGAAAAGCAAGAGGCGAAGGCAGGAACACATCACTTCGTCACCCGGTCACAGGGAGGCAAATTAACATTATTTCCAGCAACTCCATCCTCTTTCGTGATCAGTCAGTTACCCACTCGCAACAAGTGGGCTGGATGAGCCAGGCACCGGTTCAGCAGATAAATTGTGCTAGCAGATGAAGATGCAGGAGCTCCCCTGAAAGAGGCCCCGTCAAGGTGGCACACACACACATGGTGCACTCGTCATGCCTTTGACACGGCTCAACAAGTGCTCCTTTAGTCATTCTGGGTGAAAGGGGATTTACAAACAGAGACTTTGTGATGTCTTCTTACTTGGGTCATCCAATAATATCATGTCTTTAAACATATGCTTGTTCACAATTAGGACAACATGTGCACACACACACACACACACACACACACACACACACACACACACACACACACACACACACACATAAACACAGAG